TTACAATTATCATTTATTATTTATGGCATCAAGCGTGTACAGTATGAGCCAATCAGTGGCAGTAATGACAGAGCATGCGCTGTTACGCAAAAACCGTGATAGAGTGAAGCCGCGGTAGTCAAAGCGCGAAGTGGCGAGGGTTCACTGTAGTGGGTTATGCACTGAACTACTAACAACAAGGTCAGCTGTTTGAACTGTTTTGGGTACAAAAGAGATCTCATATTCAATTTAAGGATAGTCATTTATTTAGTCTTAAACAGGAAAAGACAAACACATCATCATCTAGATAAGGTAGACCATTAGCACCAGGTCACAATGGCATACAAGGGTTTTCAGAGATTTGGAGAATTTAAAAAGAAATGGGAGGGTAAAGGAAACTCACAAAACCATGATTAGTGACAGATTAATACATTACAGTTACAGGTGGGACTACAGAATGGGACCCTGATTGACACAAATAAATTATGTTAGACAGAAGAGCTTACAAGATTGATCCAGGGCCTTCCAACCAAGACAATCAGGCTTTGATTCATGAATATGCCACCCCAGTATAGTTATCTCCATCAAGGACACATCTAGGTAAGCCCTTAAGCAGACTGCTCCTCCCTAGGCTGGTTAGTGGCTTAGGACCACCTGGTGTTTTGAACTGCTATCTTTGGGGAGAGCAGTCCAATGCCTAAGCATTATGTCATTGCTGCACAGTGATGAATAATGACCCAACCCAGGAGAGCAGTAGCGTGATAGTTGCAATCAGGATGCTTGGCGGGTAACATCCTTGCTTTTCAATACGTGAAAGAGGCCTCATGCAGCAGATGTGCCCAATCACCACCTTAATTTGAGCCCATTAAAACTTACGTAGCACTTCTGACCTACAGAACTGTAATCTTTTACAATTGTAACTTTTTTTTACAGATGGAGTTAACCATTCTACTTTCTAACACTCTGCCGAAAGCAAATCGGTTCATATTCTTAGTTAATGGGCTGGATATAAGGGTTTCAGGCTCTCACTACTTTCCTGTAGCATTCTGCAAATGTAGTGCTCCAAATTTAAACTCAACACAGGACACACCAGTCTCACCAGGAGAAAGGGTGAGGCTGTCTGCTCCCTTAAGGGATTTAAAGTCTCAAAAATCGAAAGAGGACAATTCTGTTTTTTCCTATAGGTTCATAATAAGTCAGATTCGACTCAATAGCATGGACTCTATTGTATTAAACTGAATCTCTGGTAGTGAGTAACCAAATAGACATTTTCAAAGTGCCCCCCAAAATGCTATGCCCTAGAGCAGTGGTCAGCCAACGCAGGTTGAGAGCCATATACAGCTTTTTCAATATGTATATGTGGCTCTGAAGTAAAATTTAAAATGAAAATAAAACTATATTTCATTTAAAGAATATTACTCAAATAATTATGATTTCATTCATTTTTAAAATGTATATTTATGGCTCTTGAATAACTTTTAAATTGTTGTGAGGGACAGGATTGCCTCTTCCTTCTCAAAAGTTTGCCAACCTCTGTTCTAAAACGTAACTCTGAGTAGTCACTAAACTGGAACCATAGCCACCACCACCCCCAAAAAAACAAAAACTTCACTGCCATTAAGTCCATATCTACTCATAGTGACTCTGTACACCAGCAGTTCTATTGCCAAGTTTCTGGGATTGTAACTTTTTTTTTCTTAATAAATCATTTTATTGGGGGCGATTACAGCTCTTATAACAATCCATACATCAATTGTACCAAGCATATTTGTACATATGTTGCCATCATCATTTCCAAACCATTTTCTTTCTACTTGAGCCCTTGGTACAACTCCTATTTTTTTTACCCTTCCTCCCCACCCTCCCAACCTCATGAATTCTTGATAATTAATAAATTATTTTTATTTTCATATTGTTCACCATCCGCTTACATGGCTATATTTTACCAGAACCCCTTTCTGTCTCAACCAGGAGTTGTTTTCTTAAAGTTTTTTTGAGACATAATCCATATATCATACAATTCAATCATTCAATCATAAACCAGGAGAGTTTTTATAATAACATTAAATCAACACAGGACTTAGATTTGTGATTTTATCATAAGCTGTTTAAGGTGATCCTATAATCAGCAGAGTGCCTGAGACATAGCAGATAATACTATCTATGAGTAATTCTTATTAAATGACCAGAGAGTACCCACTCACACTAGAAACAGTCTTTCCAACATAAATACATATGCCTTTGTCATATACAAAAGTAGATTTTTAGCCTCAAGTAGAGACCAGCTATTTTATTTCTCTTTAATTGTTATATATATTGATTACTATTGATTGATTGGGATTGGGATAGATTACTGATTAGAGATATACCAGAAACGTACTGCTAGCAATTAAAATAGCAAAGGTGCCCTGGTGGTGTAGTGGATACCATAGGTAGCTGCTAACTGGAAGGTTTGCAGTGTGTACTCATTGGCTACTCCACAGAAGAGAGCTGAGCCTTACTGTTCCTGTAAAAATGTACAGCCTCACAACTGGACATCCCCTTACAGAAGGGTCGCGGGGAGGAGACGAATCAGTCAGGGCGCAGGGTGGCAATGATGAAACATACAACTTTTCCTCTACTTCCTAAATGCTTCCTCCCTACCCACTATCATGATCCCAATTCTACCTTGCAAATCCAGCTAGACCAGAGGATGTACACTGGTACAGATAGGAACTGGAAACACAGGGAATCCAGGACAGATGAACCCATCAGGACCAGTGGTGGTATGGAGAGGGTGGAGGGAGGTTGTGGTAGAAAGGGGGAACCAATTACAGGGATCTACTTATAACCCCCTCCCTGGGGGACGGACAACAGTGGAAAGTGGGTGATGGGAGACATTGGACAGTGTAAAACATGAAAAAATAATAATTTATTAATTATCAAGGGTGAGAGAGGGATGGAGGGTGGGGAAGGGGCGGGGGGGAATGAGGAGCTGATATCAAGGGCTCAAGTAGGTAAGAAAATGTTTTGAGAATGATGATGGCAACAAATGTGCCTGACACAATGGATGTATGTATGGATTGTGTAAGAGTTATACGAGCCCCCAATAAAATCATTTTTTTAAAAAAACACAGTCATCGAAGTTATAATAACATAATAGACCAGTTAATGTTGTTCAAAAAAAAAAGATGTACAGCCTCAGAAACCCCCAAAGGTAGTTCTACTCTGTCCTGTCACTATTAGTCAATGTGAACTCTAGGTCACTGTGTTTAGTTTTCTTTTTTTCATGGCAAAGAAAGCAAATAATAATGTGTTTATCATCTATCACAATGTATTTTTAAGCAGTGGCTAGAGCACCCCCGTGCTAACCAAAAGGTCAGTGGGTCAGGTATGTTCAAGGTGGTATGGCCATAGTAAAACTCTGAGGACACTCTAAGGTAAGAGTGGTACTGCTAACTGCAAGGCTGGCACTTCAAACCCACAAGCTGCTGTGCAGGAGAAAGTTGAAGGTGTCTGTTCCCCTAAATATTTATAGCCTCTGAAACCCTATGTAGGATGACTACGAATCAGAATTGACTCCATGGTAGTGGGGTACAGCTGCAAAGGAAGAGTAGGAATTAGCAGTGACAGCTAATAGGTATGAAGTGTTGGGAGGGAATAATTTAAAATATTCTAAAAGTTTGGATCTAGGTGATAATGAACAACTCTGAGTATACTCAAGACCACTCAACTCTAGTATTCTTTGGTATGTGAATTATACCTCAATAAAGTTATTTGTAATGAGTCATTAATATTTATGAGTTGGAAATTCATTTCACATCTTTATCTTTAAAGAAGCAATCCTAGTGCTAAATTTTTAACACTTGGTAAAAACAATGCTTCCAGACTTGTTTTTTCTTTCTTTTTTAATAACTACAGCTGGACAACTCAGCCAATCGGCACATTTAGCTCTCCAACTACCATATAATGTACTTGGATTAGGTCGAAGTGCAAATTTTTTGGATCATCTTTTTGTTGGTATCCCCCGTCCATCTGGAGAGAAGGTGAGTAAAAGTGTATTTTCTTTATAATTAATTAGGCTTTTAATGCTCACTTTTTAAAAAGGAATAAACAATTGGTTCATAGTGGCCTAAATAAACTTACCTTATATTGAGCACGTCATGATCTGAAAATACAGTACAGCTCTCCATCACCTCTGCCATAAAGATCACAAATATTCCTCTTCCTTGCTTTAATTTTTCCCACCTAACTCTGGTGCCATTGTCAAGTAAGTGTTGGACTACTAACTGCAAAGTCAGTGGTTCAAACCCACCAGCTGTCCCTAAGGAGAAACATGAGACAGCCTACTTCCATAAAGATTTACAAACTCTCAGGAACCCTCTGTAGGATCTCTGTGAATTGGAACGAACTCAGCGGTAGTGTGCTTGGTTGTGTGTGTTAGCATGCTATAAAGGAGCCCCTGGGTAGCACGCGTGGTTAAACACACAACTACTAGCAGAGGAGTTAACAGTAGGAAATCACCCAGAAGCACTTCAGAAAACAGTGCCGGTGAACTACTTCCAACAAGACGGCCCTGAGAACCCTGTGGGATGCAGTTCTACTTCGTGCATCTGAGGTCAACTCAGTGTCAACTGACAACAATCACATGGTCTAGACTTTACTCATTTTATTTTCACACACAACTTTGACTTAAATGTTACCTCCAAGTACTTGTATCACTTTGAACATGCCTGCTACTTAAGAGTGAGAGCAACAAATAAATATTTAGTGAATAAAGACTATGAATGATCCATGAGATATAAATAACATTTTTATCAGGAAAGAGCAGAGCAATTTTACCAACAGATGATACAGCAGTCTATTTTGGATTCAGTGTGAATTTAATCCATACTAGAATTTACATTTCTCAAAGAGGATTTAAACTTTTCTCTATTTAATTTGAATAATCTTATCTTAAATGTTCTTAATTTCTTTTTTAGTCCATACGAAAACAAGAGTGGACTGCAATCATTCCAAATTCCCAGCTAATTGTCATTCCATACCCTCATAATGTTCCTCGAAGGTAATGTCTTTCCTTGAACTGAATTTGGTAACTATTGTGAACTCTAAATCATTGATGCAGTTATGTCTTTTTAAAATCCTTATTCCTGTGTTTTCCCTCATGACTGTCGTATTTTATTTGCATGCAGCAGCCTTAAAGAAAGAGATAACCACACAAAAGGTTCCTGACATTTTCAGTCTTACTGAACAAATTAAATCTTATTGGAAAAACAGCAGGGTAACTAATTTAGGAGTAATACATACCCTGTTTAAATAAAATGCTTTTAGTCTTTTTAAAAATCCTAAACTTTAAGGTACTAAATTCTTTTTTTTTCTATATTCTTTAATTAATAAGGACTGATGTTTTCATGAAGTCTTTAAAAAGTGATGTATATCATACTGGATGAATATACACATTTAGAGTAAAAAAGATCTAGGTTAGAAACTCAGCTCCTTAAGGTAGGGTGGGCTGGAAAGGGGGAACCGATTACAAGGATCTACATGTGACCCTGCGGAACGGACAACAGAAAAGTGGGTGAAGGGAGACATCGGATAGTGTAAGATATGACAAAATAATAATTTATAAATTATCAAGGGCTCATGAGGGAAGGGGGAGCGGGGAAGGAAGGGGGAAAATGAGCTGATGCCAGGGACTTAGGTGGAGAGCAAATGTTTTGAGAATGTTGAGGGTAATGAATGTACAAATGTGCAAAAAGATGAGAGCTCATGGTGGTGGTGGTGGTGGTGGTTGTGGTGGTGGTAGTTATGTATGGATCATTGCTATCGGTTCTCCCTTCCTCCCCTCCTGTCCCCACCTTCCCCCTGCCCTCCTAGTGTTGCTGCTCCCATTTCTGTTCTCAAGGGGTTTATCTGACCTGTCTTCCATGTGTCCTGAGCTCTTCTTTGTACCAGGGTACATTCTCCAGTCTAGCCAGAACTGAAAGGCAGGACTGGGGTCATGACAGTGGGGGCTGAGGAAGCCACGAAGAATCAGAGGAATGCTGTGTGTTTTATTGGTGTTATACTGCGCCCTGGTTGACTCATCCCTTCCTTGTGACCCTTCTGTGAGGGGATGGTCTATTGTCTATGGCCTATGGATTTCAGGGTCTCTGCTCTGACCCCCCTGGTTCTCAACAATGTGTTTTTGTTGTTGTTTTGGGTCTTCTGGTGCCTGTTACTTGATTCCACATTGCAGTTCTTAATATTTATGGGAGGAGTTTGCTTTACCAATGGAATGGTTTGGACCTCATCATCTGGAGACCAGGTAATCTGCTGGTGCAACCTGGCCTCACCCCAGATACACAGATTTCATTTTCAACAGATGTTCTGCTGGGTCCATATAATGGAACCTGAGGGTGGGGAGCCTGAGACAGCTCAAAATCCTTCCTAGGGACCTTCTAATATGGCAGTTTTCATCAAAATTCAGTGCTAGTCTGTCAAAGCATAGTGTCTTGCCAGCAGTGAAAGGCAGGACTGGGGTCATGATAGTGAGGGGTGAGGAAGCCTCAATGAACCAGAGGAATATTGTGTTTCATCAGTGCTATACTGCACCCTGGTTGACTTCATCCCTTCCTTGTGACCTTTCTGTGAGGGGATTGTCCCATTGTCTACAGATGGGTTTTGGGTCTCTGCTCTGACTGACCTCGTTCTCAACAATATGTGTTTTGTTTGTTTGTTTTGGGTCTTCTTATGCCTGTTACCCAATTTCATCAACACCTCGATCTTACAGGCTGGTGTGCTTCTTCCATGTGGGCTTGTTACTTCTCTGCCAGATAGCCACTTGCCTTTCACTGTGGGCTGGACTGGAGCATGTACACAGGTACAGCTAAGAAATGAGAGCTCAGAACACATGGAATCCAGGGAGCAGTGGGGAATGGGATGGCGGGGAGGGGAAGGGAGGATGAGGGAACCAAGTGCAATGATCGACATGTAACCACACACCACCCCCAGGGGGACAAACAACAAAAAACGGGGGAAGGGAGACAGCAGTCAGTGTAAGGTATGAAAATAATAATAATTTATAATTTATCAAGGGGTCACAAAGGTGGGTGGGGAGGAGGGAGGGAAAAAAGGAGCTGATGCCAAGGGCTCAAAAGAAAATAAATATTTAGAAAATGATGATGGCAACACATGTACAAATATGCTTGATACAATTGATATATGGATTGTTATAAGAGCTGTAAGAGCCCCCAATATAATGATCTTTTAATAAACAAACAAAAAAAAACCTTAAACTAGAACTAAATCCTGAGTAAAATAATATTTGAATTATGTAATTCCATAGGATGCAATACCATACACATATATACATACTACCATGAATGAGGAACAATCTCTTCAGATTGGTAATCAAAGAAGGGAAAAAACAGATCAATATTGCTTTCTAATAAGTAAAGTTTTTGTTAGATAAATATGTTCACCTAGAAGTCAGAAAATATTGCTACAAAATCATACATGCTACAAAATCAAATCTTTGATTAAATCAAAATATCACAATGCGAAGCTACTGTTTCGTGACATATCTTCCCTGTAAGTGATACTTCGAAAGGTGCTGCTGCTTTCCCTCCTCCCCAACCATTCCTGGGATAATTCTGTGCTCTTTGACTCTGTGAAAACAGCTGTTTGGGCTTCCATCGGGATTCAACAAGCTCCTTTTAAATGCTGCTTGCATTTGAGGAGGAAAGGGTAGTCTGAAGCAGCAATATCAGGGTGGTACAGTGGATGGGGTAAAGTCTCCCAACAAAACTCTCGAAGAATGAACAGACATGTCATGACAGGAAGAAATTCCTTCTTGTTTTCTATCAATGCAGTTCTCAGTTTTCTTAAAACTTCATAATAAGCTTCCAGGCTCTTCCTGTGTCTTTGAAAAAACTCTACTAAAATTACCCATATGGGAATCAAAAACAAAAACATCATCACCTTGTGTATGACTTTAACCGTTTTGTGTAGATCTTGCTCTCAGCCCCAACTCTCATCCCTACTTATGATTTGTTCCACAGAATCATCTTATTTGGCTTAATCTTGCTTAAAAGACTTAAACAGAGCTCAGCTCTTTGAGCTACCCTATCTTCCTGAAACATTTTCAGCTCTCATCAAGGGAAAAGCTTATTAAGATCAGGATATTCACTTAAAATTGAAAATATCAAACCACATGAAAGTTCAGCTTTAGTGGCTTTAATAATTCTGTGGTCTTCCAATAATCTCTGGACTTTATCCACAGTTTCTTTATTCATCAAGGTTAACCATTATCCCTTAACTCATCCTTATTGTAATCTTGACTTTACTTAACATATTTGATCCATCTATAAACTTATTTTATGTTTGGAATGTTCCCATACTCTTGTTGCAAACCTCAATGATTTGGAAAGATGTCCACTTGAATTTTGTTAAAAATTTGATGTTACTGAGAAAACTTGTCTGCAGGCATCCATTGATTACAGTGACATGTTTTGTTTGAAATAAACTTGTGCATGTATGAACTGGGAACTCTAGTTGTATTTTTTTCTTCTTTTACTTACCTGCTACATGTTTTCTGAAAGAATACACAAAAAACAGGTAGGTAGGTTGACTACTTCTGAGTAGGAAACTAAGGTTTGGCCCCTGGCTCTACTTGATTTCTTTTTAAATGTATTTAAGCCTTTATAAGACACTGAGAGTAGTCAATAGCTGTCATTAACTCTATTTGTTTCTTTAAGGTTTTCTTAGTCATAAGAATTTCTGATAAATGCTGTTGTACCTTTATTCCATAATATCAACATTTTTTCATTTTTCCCTTGTTCTTTCTATAAAAAATTCTATCCAGATTTATGTAGATAATCAAAAATTAAATTGATTTTAGTTTTACTATAATTTTTATATTTACTTATGACTAACTTGTAGATCAATAAGTTTGTGTTTTTTTAATCAATAAGTTTTAATTATCCTCCCAAAATAAGTCAGTAACTACTTGTTATTCATCAGAATGCTAGGATATTAACATTGTTAAACTTTTTTTAAAATCATTTTATTGGGGGCTCGTACAGTTCTTATCACAATCCATACATACATATATCATCGTTAAACTTTTAAAGTGAAAATATGTCCATTATTTTTCAGAGAGAACAAGAAAGTATGTATATAGCCGTGTGCAGTTTTAGGCTCTGGAGAGTTTTCAAGTACTCTATTATAAGGACGGTGTCTAAAAGGAAGAGCTCATTTGATTTCTTCTGATGACTTTTCATTTGTATGGTGCATTAACACTGTGGGCCTTACAGTGATGCTTTAGTAGCCGCAGCTTAAAGGTCATTGTAATAATGGAAATCCTCCCACATGACACAGAGGTATAATAGAGTGTTTCATAGGCCAGCTACCTATGCCCAGTTGGCCATATTTTTGATTTAGATGGTCACGGTGTATTTTTTTTGAAGGGGTGGGGCCTGTTTTTTTTTTCATTATTTTTTAATTTGAAAAAAAAAACATTTTATTGGGGGCTCATACAACTCGTATCACAATCGATACATACTTACATACACTGTATCAAGCACATTTGTACATTTGTATCCCTCCACCCTCCCCATATCACCACTCTCACCACTGGTCCTGAGGGGTTCATCTGTCCTGGATTCCCTGTGTTTCCCATTCTTATGGTCTAGCCAGATTTGTAAGGTAGATTTGGGATCATGATAGTGACGGGGAAATAAGCATTTAAGAACTAGAGGAAAGTTGAGTTTCATTGGTGCTACACTGCACCCTGACTGGCTTGTCTCCTCCCCGTAACCTTCTGTAAGGGCTTTGGATCCCCACTCTGCACTCCGCCTCATTCACAATGATAAAATATTTTGTTCTTCGATGCCTGATACCTCATCCTATCAACACCTCGTGATCACACAGGCTGGTGTGCTTCTTCCATGTGGGCTTTATTGCTTCTCACCTCGATGGCCACTTATTTATCTTCAAGCCTTCAAGACCCCATATGCTATATCATTTGATAGCTGGGCAGCGTCAGCTTTCTTCACCACATTTGCTTATGCATTCGCTTTGTCTTCATCCATTGTGTCAGGAAGGTGAGCATCATGGAATGTCAGTTTAATATAACAAAGTGTTCTTGCATTGAGAGAGTACTTGAGTGGAGGCTCAATGTCCATCTGCCACCTTAATATTAAACCTATAAATATATACACATAGATCTATTTCTCCATCATCATATATAAATATATTTACATATGTACATGCCTGTATTTAGGCCTCTATAAATGCCCTTTGGCTCCTAGTTCTTTCCTCTGTTTCCTTTTACTTTCCTCTTGTCCCACTATCATGCTAAGACTTCATTTGGGTTTCAGTAATTCCTCTCGGTTACATTGCCCTTGATCAAGTTCCTTCAGGTCTCTTACACCCTCCTTGCCACTGATTTTGGATCTCTTGTTGTTCCCTTGTCTCTGGGTTTGTTAACACTACTTCCTTTCCCCTACCTCCCCCTCTCCTATGTCCCCCCCGGAACCATTGGTCCTGTTGTTTTCTCCTCCTGTGTATCTTATCTAGACAGACCTGCAGAGATAATAATATGCCCAAAAACAAGACAGAGCAAAACAAAGCAACCAAAGAAAACAAAACAACAACATCAAACCAATGACACACAAAAAAGGAAAGCCTGCAAACAGTTCAAGGTCTGTTTGTTGACCTTTAGGAGTGTTTTCCTGTCAAGTCTGATGGGGTGCCACACTCTAGCCCCAAAATCTATATGGTATTCCCTCGGCATTTCCTTGCTCTGCTCCCCTTGCTGTTCTGTTGCACACCCTAAGTGTTTTCCCTCGTTGTGGTGGGGTCAGATTGGGCGCAACTCCCACACTGTGTCTGCAGTTTTGTCCCCTGTAGGGTTATGGGTAAGTAAGAGATAATCATGCCTTGTAGTGGGCCGGCAATACGGTCCTCTCTGTGCATTGGCTGCTCTGAACAGGGATATCGTCCTCAAGGCTTGGTGGACCAAGATGTGCTCCACTCTCTCTTCCTCCCCCTTCATTTGTTCCCATTTGCTCTGATCAGATATGTCCTCCCTGAGCTGTAGCTTCAGTGCTGTCCTCTGAAGTAAATTTTTTTGGGGGAAGAATATCATGTTTTTTTATCGAAAATTCTATTCCTGAGTAAATTAAAAAATTCTGAAACTGAGTAAAATCTGTGATCTGCAGGCTCAGCATCAATATTCTTAGTACTATCTACATTTAATTGCTCTTTATATATATAATGATTGGATAGATGAGTGTTACCATCCAGCGGTATGAACCTGCAGTAAGTGACAACCTAAAGAAAAAGAATGGATGGCCCATGGACTGATGATCCAAAGGCAAATTTTATTTCCAAAGTACAGCTTTATATTATAATGGGTCAAGGGTACATAGCAAGCATAGTGTAACAATAACATCATGATAAACTTGCTCTAAGCACAAACAGTTCCTAGGGACTAATCTTATCTTAACAAATGCAGCTGTGTTCTCAGTTTACTCATTGCATCTCAGAATTGGGGAAAACATAGTAAGGATTCAGTGTCTCCAAGCACCCCAGATGAGTAAATTAATTAATAAGCTTTTTGCTTTGGGGCTTAGTAGAACTTTGTCACTTTTCAATTAAAATTCATATCTTACCCTATCTAATGTATCCGTTCACTGGCAGTTCTGTTCACTCCCCATCATTGCTATCAGCTCTCCCACACCATTACTCCTCTTACTTTTTCTGGGGGGTTACTTACATTGGCTTTCATGCATTGAACAATCTTAATTTTGCCAATGACCATATGCAAGTCTAACAAGGTTAATGAGGTAGAACTGAAACCATAATAGTAGAGGGAGGAAATGTTAAAGAATTAATCGATAGTTATGTGTTTCATCAGTGCTATACTGGACCCTGGATATATCATCCCTTCTTTTTTGGCCCTCTGTGAGGGACTGTTTAATTATCTTACATGTGGGTTTTGGATCTATATAATAACAATAATAAGGGTTCCAGCATGGGGGTGTGGCTAGGGGCAGGAGAGGGAAGGGATAAAGGAGAGTGGATATCATGGAGCTCAAGAAGAAGGAGAATATTTTGAAACATTGTGGTAACAAGTGTACAGTACTGCTTGATGTGACTGAACTATGGAATATTACTATATCTGTAAGAGCAGAACTCCCAATAAAATAATTTTTTAATAAAAAAAAGAAGAATTAGGACCACCTTATTCACTGTAGTGATCTAAAAGTCACTTAAGATAATTCACAAAAAAGCCAGGGGGGAAACTTCTTTCTTGTTGAGACAACAAAAGCAGGTGGAAAACTGCCAAAATGGCTCTCAAGTATGTGGCCCTTTTACAACATTTATGTGACTCATTAAAAAAAAAATTAGAGCTCAAGTAGGAAGAAAATGTTTTGAAAATGATGGCAACATATGTATAAATATGTTTGAATTGTTATAAGAGCTGTAAGAGCCCCCTATAAAATAAGTTTTAATTGAAAAAAAATTATTGAATTTATAATTTCAATTCTTCTGTTTTCATCTACAGCTGGAGTGCCAAACTGTATCTTACACCAAGTAACATTGTGCTGCTCACTGCTATAGCTCTCATCGGTGTCTGTGTCTTCATCTTGGCAATCATTGGCATTTTACATTGGCAAGAAAAGGTTTGTTCAATTAAATGCAACATTAACTTTGGTTAATTTGTTGTACTATTACTTTTGAAAAACACTATGTTTATTTTAAATTTCTTCACATGACTAGGATTTCCTAATTTTTCATGCTATATTGAGAATATAATTTTATTTATAGTCATGTCTTTCATCCCCCTGAAATTATTATCATCTCTTAGAAGTATATCTTTATATATCTTAATATAATTCTTTATATATAAATCTTAAATTTTATGTGAGATATGTGTCTGTGTGTATGTATGTAAATACATATGTCATAGCAATACAGATATATCATAGGAGCATACTTATTTTAAAAGTTTGATGCTGTAAGGCATCATCAGAACAAAAAATCTTACCATAGTGAATGATGGGGGGAGTGCAGAGTGGAGATCCAAAGCACATTAGGAGGCCACTGGAGATCCCCTTGCAGAAGGGTCTCGGGGAGGAGATGAGCCAGTCAGGGTGCGATGTAACAATGATGAGAAATACAACCTTCCTCTAGTTCCTAAAGATTTCCTCCCCGCTCCCACTACCATGACTCGAATTCTGTCTTGCAAGACTGGCTATGCCAGAGAATGTACACTGGTACAGATGGGAACTGAAGGTGCAGGGAATCCAGGACGGATGAGCCCTACAGGACCAGTGGTGTGAGTGGCAAAACAGGGAGGGTAAAGGGAGAATGGGTAGGAAAGAGGGAACCGATTACATGGAACTGTGTGTGACCTCCTCCCTGGGGGACAGACAACCGAAAAGTGGATGAAGGGAGACGTCGGACAGGGCAAGATATGACAAAATACCCATTTATAAACTATCAAGGGTTCATGCGGGAGGGGGGAGCGGGGAGGGAGGGGAAAAATGAGGACCCAGTGTCGGGGGTTTAAGTGGAGAGAAAATGTTTTGAGAAACGATGTACAAATGCGCTTTACACAATTGATGTGTGTATGGATTGGGATAACAGTTGTATGAGCCCCTAATAAAATGTTAAAAAAGAGGAAAAAAAAAAAAAAGTTTGATGCTGTACAGAGTAACTAAATAATTTCACAAACACTCAGCTCCTAACAAAGATTGGTATTTCAGTACACACAGTGGTGCCTCAAAAGAAAAACTTGACAACCTAATTTTGAAAAATTAACCATTTAAAACACTGTGGTGGATAGTTCTACTCTGATACATATGGGGTCACCAGAAGTAGGAACTGACTCAATGGCAACGGGTTTGTGGATTTTCAGTATGCAGGAAAACCTAAAAAGCAGTGTCAATGGCCTGAAAAATAATATCGACATTTAAAACAAGCCTGTATTAGCTACAGAAATAGTGGTGGATGTTCTTTTTCCAGAAAAAAGATAGGTAGCTCGTTTTATAAATAAGGACAATAGTTAAATGGTTTTCTCAAAGCTTAATTAAGGAGTAACAACTGAAATAATAAACATCTCCAATACTCTTTCCATGAAACTAGCCTAATTTCCAATCATTAGTATAAATTATAGTGGAAAACAAAGCTCCCCCAAAAGTGTAGAAGCTCATTTTTAGAAGTTTTTTTATACAAGGTTCATGTGAAGAAAAAAATTAGACCACATGAATTGATTAGCAATTTAGATATAAACTGAAAAGGCTAGTTTTTATTTGCATATGAATATATTAGGTCCAAACTAGTTGATTCAAACACTGCCTCTGTAAAAACATTCTTTGGGTCACAGACAAAGATGCTTTCTTTGTGTGGTGCTTATTTTCCTAGGACTGTCATCCTGTCATTATCATTTTTAGTTAACTAAAATTGGTCTACTTTATCTTAACTGTCTTTTTCACCTATAAAAATGAGAACATAGTAATTGTATTGCTTTCCCCCTCTTAAAAAGAATCATTTAAATATTAAAAGTAAAAATGAGGAGGTGATACCAAGGGCTTAAGCAGAAAGCAAATATTTTGAGAATGATGATGGCAACAAATGTACAAATGTGTTTGACACAATGGATGGATGTATGGGTTGTGATAAGCATTGTACGAGCCCCCAATAAAATGATTTTTTAAAAATAAATATCAAAAGTGATAATAAAATATAAGTTACCATGTGAAACATAAATCAAGAGTTATTCCTTTTTTTCTTTTCTTTTTTTTTACTTTAACAAACAAATGTATTTTCTCATAATGTAGGAGGCTAGAAGTTCAAGTTCAGAGGGCCAGCTGTGAGAGAAGGCTTTCTTTCTCTCGTCTCTTCAGCTTCGGCTCCTTGTTCCTTGTCGATGTTCATGTGTTTGGTCTATTTGACTTCCTCCTGTCCACTTCTGGTTTGCATTTAATCCCCTCTGTATCTCAGAAAGAAGAGGCTTTCTGTTTCCATACAGAGTTATAGTCTCAGAAACCCACAAGGGAACTTCTACCCTGTCCTAAAGGACCCTATAAGTCAGGATCAACTCGATGGCAGTTGAGTTTGGGTTCTTTTTTTTTTTTTTTTTTTTTGCAGTTATGCCTTTTTATATACAACATTACACAGAAATTTCCAAGTAAATAAGTTCAGAGTTAAATATTATAAGTTAAATAAGAAACATTTTTTAAAGTTTTTAAGAACTACAGTATGGCCCCTACCTTGAAATTGATGAGGATCTGGATCTGTGGACACCGATGTGGAGAGGAGGGATGGAGAGAGAGTCATTGTTTGGAAGGGGAATCCCCTTGCATAAAATCAACTGGGAGCTGCTTTTCAGGACTTTTTTATCTTCTTTGCTTTTATCACTAGGACCTGGCTGGCTTTCTCTTAAAAAAAAAACAAATCTGCCTAATGTGGTCTGCTGTTGGCATTTCCTTAACTGTTTTCTAAAAGGGTTTACTAAATTATCATCAACAATATCCATAACACGGTTAACCAGTTCCTTATCATGATGATTCCTTTCAAAAAACTCTTTCTTAGGACCCATGTTTTTTAACTAAAAACAGTACAAAAAGCCACAAAACCTAAGAAAATTATAGCAAAACGCTTGAAACGCAGCCACAAAATGCAATGCGTACTGACAATGCCAACAAATGCCGAGTGACGGAAACACGAACTGCTTGCGTTTACAAGAATCACGTGCGTCGGGTCAATTCCAATGTTTTGTTCAGCTCCCGTGCAAAATGTTCTCAACATTTCGCGTCGAAATCCAATTATGTCGAGTACTGGTGCGGTCAGGTACCAGGGTTCTACTGTACTTCCAATGGCCTTTATTCCTCAGAAAAGTTTTTTGGTTCTGTATTTTGGTCATGGTTTGACCAAAATGTCATGCTTGGTCATGTTTGAAATACTCTGTCTTTTGTTCTTTGAGTGTGAATTTAGGTTTTCTATTGTCTCTGAAACATTGTGATAGTGTATTTGCATTTAATTGAATATTATATTTTGTTGTGTTTGGGCCAGTTAGGAGTTTTATCTTATTGTTGTTGGTTGGTTTTGGTTTTGATGCGGTTCTTTGTTTGCTTTGTCGTCGTTGTTGTTCTTTCTTTTCTGCAGGGAAGGTGATATTATTATTGGTGGCTGGTGTGCTTCCTTCCTCGTGAACACTCACCACCTGTCTCCTAGTGAATGTGGTAGAGATGAACTGTGTGAGCACAGCTCTGTGTACTGTTCATGTAGAGCAGAGAGCTCTTATTGGTTATATCTGTAATTCATCAGGTGGTGCAGGGACTGTATGTGGCCCAGGTGGCCCTGTAAGAAATGAGGCAGCAGTTTTGTAGCTTGGGCATGGTTTTTCTCTGGTCACCAGCCACTGGTGTGAGTGTTGATGTTGCCTTTAACTAGCATAGCCAACTATTAGGTTACTATTCCAATCAGAATGCTGATTGAAAAATTCAAAAGGGCCACACTATGTCAGACCAATTGCCAATGAACTACTCCATTTTTCTCTTTGTTCATTGCCCTTATTCAATGTCTTGGATATGGTTTTGATCTACTTCTTTATCCTTTGCTTTGAGACTCAGGGTTCTCACTGTCATCCGCATGTGTTCATTTGGTTCCTCATGCCCGTGTTGTGTAGAGTATATAAGTAGCTTGTCTGGTAGTAGTCTTCCATCTTGCCAAAAGTTCAGGATGTTATTTTTAATTGCTTAAAATAACATTCAGAGTAAATTCATACAAGTAGAAGGTCAGTAAAGATTTGCCAAATAATTTTTTTTAAATAACCCAAAATAGTTCATTTGGATTAATTTTTTTTAAGTTTCTGTATTAAAGCAATACTTTATTTTGTCCTTCTAGACCTTAATGTTTACTTGACTTTCAGATAAATAAATGACAATAAGGTGCATACTTGTGATAATGTCTTCCATTTTAAATTCAATTTGTAGAACATTGCTTATAACTAGTATAACAGAAAAAAAAAACCAAAATGAAATGACTATAGTTACAGAATAACCACTATCCCCTACTTATTGCTGAGGGATTTTCTTTTTTTTTAATTTACTCTCTTTATATTTCAGAAATTAGTCTATTCTTAACATTCAATAATTTATCATTTTTTCTTTCAGAAAGCAGATGACAGAGAAAAACGACAAGAAGCCCATCGATTTCATTTTGATGCTATGTGACTTCCCTATAATATTACATAATGGAACTGCTATTTATATGATTAACTGAAAATCTAAATTCTGGCTTATAGAAAAGATTAGGGATTGTTTTGAATGTTATTTATAAATTATATATCCTTGGATTATTATTATTGGAAAGTATTCAAATAAATATGATCTGAATGTGCCACAGGGTCTTTTTTTTAAGCACTGTATATAAAATTTGAGTCCTTTATTCAGTGGTGTTGTAAATTTTCCTTTGTAGAATGTGTTGCATGTACTCAGGTGTTTATGTATTTCTAATCCTATTAGAATAAGGATGATGGGAAAAGTTATGTGGAAATAAAAATATTAAAATGAGTGAGATTTTGTGTTCTACTTGAATTGTTCTTGCTTCTCACTCCGATAATTACACTTTTGAATGTGACGCAGATACAGTTATTAAGCATTCGTTGTCATCGGGAGTCGTTTGCTGATGACATCCAGTGTAGTTGCTGAGTTAGTTCTCTGGCTTTGGAATCGCAGTCAGTCTTGCCTTAATCTATTTCTAATACTTACTACATGTTTTAACTTGGCAAATTGTTTGACCTCTATAAGCCTCAATTTCTCCTTTATATAATGGGACTAATAATGCCTATTCAATTGAGTGACTTCTAAAATTTAAAAGATTGGGTATACGTAAAGTACTGAGTTTGCTGTGCATAGCATTAAGTGGTAGTACTCCTTACTAATATTTTTACATGACTTTTTACAGGCTTCTACAAATAATCATAAAAATACATAGTCTCGATTGAATTTTATTTTTAAGCATGAGTAAATCCTATTCTTTGGAAACAAATTCTTGGTAGTTAACTTCTTATATAAGGAATTAGTACGTCTTCGTGTTAATTAAATATAGTGTCCTGAAGAATTACTGTGATCTGAAAATTTTCATTTGAGCACATATTTATTATGTGGTAAGGAAGAATATTTGATTTTTGAAACTACTATAAGTATCATCTCAGAATTCCAGTCTTCAATCACATTTATATCCTTATAGGTGAAGGAATCTATAATTCACATTTAGATGTAAATAATATTTAGAAAGTTACAGAATATAAGATTAGTGGAATTTATCAATACTAATAGTCAAATAGAAATAGAATGGCTATGAAACAAAACATTCTATGAAAATGATTTTTTGTCTTCATGTTTTCTATACAATTCACTCAGATTGGCATGTATATAAATTGTTAACTTTGCATGTTAGTTAGTGTGCCTTCATAATAAATGCTCTTTATTGAAACAAAGTACTTTGTTGAGTTCTTAAGTAATTATTTTGGAGCATGAAGCTGCCCTAGAGGTTATAAAATCTAAAATCACTAGCATGGTAAGATAGCACATTCGTTGCCTCTTACTGATTCAGGGGAAACATGGGGCTCTCCTGACTACCCTGTTTCCCCAAAAGTAAGACATCCCCAAAAATAAGACCTACTTACAGTTTTGCTTCTCGCTGAAATATAAGGCATCCCCAAAAAATATGACCTACCCGAAAATAAGGGTTTGGATTGTTATGATGATGTCCCAGAAAATGATGACATGATTGTCATTGAATAAATGAGTAAATGCACCATAGATTGTTGTACATGGAAATAATGGTGGTAACAAGAAATTCTTGATACTGTAGGATTCACAGTTTGTCTGATTATGCTGGTTTGTGATGACAACTACTACTGTACCGTATACAGTAATAAATTTCCCTTTTTTTTTTTTTGTTCAACAATAAATGTGTACCATATTCTTCTTCATGGAAAAATAAGATATCCTCTGAAAATAAGACCTAGCGCATCTTTGGAAGCAAAAATTAATATAAGACACTGCCTTATTTTGGGGGAAATAGGGTACAATATTCAATTAAATTTACTAAATAGTTATTGACCTCCAAACAGCACTATTTCACACAATCTCTAAAAACCCTCAATACAGATAGTAATACTACTTGTCGGGGTCCACAAGTAGTAGTGTTGTAGGCAATTAAAATGTTAACTAGCATTTAAAATATCATCAGTAGCCGAAAGTCTGGGAATATATTGGCATGAGCCTGTCTAAGATCTTGACTCTTCCACCTTAAATATCAAGTAAAGTATAACTAGAAATCTGTAATCTCAACTCTGTTAGAGCACTGAGAAGTAGGCGGGGAATTAAAAAAACTTACTGGATTGCACACAAAAGTTTATTCTTTACTGTTCTTGCACCTTCCTTATCCTGACATCTCAGCTGTGTGGCTGGACCAGAAGCGTAATGCTGCTCTCACCTTCACAAAGTGAACCCTCATGTATGGCTCCAGATTAAATAGGGAAGCTTTTTCTGGCAGACCGTATATTTATTCTTTTCTATCTGAGACCTGCCTGAAGGACTGATACTTGTTCTGGTATGCATTGGGGGCTTTACAGAGTTGAAGAAGGAATGGTGAACAAAAACTTAGGACTTGCAGATATTACCAACTTTAAAAACACTGTGTGTAAGAGAATTAAAGCTGACATTGTAATAGTGTAACGTTCAGCAAAAACTTAACAGACATAAATGATGACTTACTCAGAAAACACCAGGGAAGAGAAACTATGTCTTAGAAGCATAGATAACAGATAGATTTGAGAACTTTAAAACAACAGTATTAAACATAACTAAAGAAAGATATATACAAAGAGCTAAAGTCAGAAAACAATTCATGAAAAATAAAAGTACTAACAGAGACAGACACTATTAAAATGATACCAAACACATCTGGAATTTAGTCAAACATGACTGTCTTGAACACTATATCATTTTAAGATCTATATGAAATCAAATTGTCAACAAACTGGGAAGGTGGAAACTTTAAAGGATAGTGAGTTTATATTAATGGCGGAGGAACAACTCAGAAAGGAATAGTGAGAGCCCACTCACTATGATTAGTGTCACTGAACTGTACATTGGTGTGTGTTTTGTAGTGTGTATTCTAAACAGTCTAAAAAACAAACTCACTACAACCAAATCGATGCTGATTCATAGCAACCCAATAGGACACGGTAGAACTACTCTTGTGAGTTTCCAAGACTGTAACCATTTACTGGAGTAGAACGCTCCATCTCCCATGTGAAAACTACAATGACTGAAATGAAGAAAGAAAAAAAAAGTTGGAGGAACTCAGCAGAAGATTTGAACTGACAGAGCAGTCAAGACAATTAGAGAAGACAGCAATTGAAACTGTCGAATCTGAAAAGCAAAAGGAGAAATTAACCAAGAACACTGAGCAAACCCCAGTAGAATCTGTGAGTTACAAGCTAATTGGCATTCAGAGCCTGGGATTCTCAGAAGGAGGATAGTGAAAAGGACAAGAAGAATATTTGAAGAAATAATGATAGTCAACCCTCCAATTTTTTTTAAACTCTTCACATTTGATGGGCAAGAATTTACAGGTACAATAAGCTCAATAAACTCGAAGTATAAGTGCAAAAGGTCACATCACCATACAGTATTATTAAATTCTTATCTAAAGACAGAGAACCCTGACAGCAGCAAGAGAACTGCCACCTAGAGAACCCTAGAACACCTGGCGACAGGAGCAATGGAAACTGTATTGTAAATGCAAAAAGAAAAGGAACTGTCAACCAAGAAAAATAGCTTTAGTCAAAGGATCAAGAGTGACAGTGAAATTAAGGCATTTCCAAGTAAATGAAAACTAAAAAAATTTCTGATGACTACAACTGCACAATAAAAAATGGTAAAATGATAAATGTAGGGGGGGAACATCAAAATAATTTCACAGATGAGTACAAGGACCAGTTGTATGGTATTTATCATTTGCAAATTTAATAATTTATATGCTACATAATTTCAAAACACACTAAATATAATTGTGTTATTTGGCACGTATGTAAAGACAGATGGTGTGTTAGTCTGGGTAAAGTAGAGAAACAAATCCAGGGAGACTCATATATATGTATAAGAAAGAGCTGTATAACAAGAGCAATTGAATATTGAGAAAGCAGCCCAGTCCAGATCAAGTCCATAAGTCCGATATTAGCCCATATGTCCAATACCAGTCTATACATTCCTCTTCAGACTCACACAACACATGCAATGATACTAAATGCAGGAAGATCACAGGCCCAGGGATGGAACGTCTTGTAGCTCCAGTGGCAGTGGAAGCAGCTCATCTCAGTGCTGGCGTAGGTCTCCACGTGGCTCCTCCAGCTCCAAGGCTCTGGCCCCATCAGGATAGCTCCTTATGTCTTGTCAACAGGAATATCTCACAGAGAGAGTGTGTGTGTGTGTGTGTCCCACCCCCAGCAAGCTGTTTAACTCCTTAGCGTCTCCAAATGAGGTCATCGAGCTGTGACCTGATTGACAGGCTAAACTCCACCCCTTCACTCCTAATCACCTCAATTTGACAACAGATTATGTAACTACCACAGATGGTAACATCTATATAAAAGTAGTAGATGGAGCAGTTTATGAATAGCATTTTATGTTAGGTTAATATACAATGTTGTTAGGTACTCTTGGATCGACTGCAGCTCATGGTTAACTTATGTATTCAGAATGAAACATAGGGGCCTGTTCTATCTTCATAATTGCCTATGAGTACATTGTTGTGCCTATTGTGTCCATCCATATCATTGAAGGTTTTCCTTAATTTTGCTGACCCCATACCAAGCGGGATGTTCTTTTTGGTCTTACTTGATTAAATGTCTCATCCAGTCTTTAATGCTTGTATTAAGATTTTAAATGCAAACCACATGGTATCCATAAATAAATTATCTTTGAAAAGAAACCGGAAAGGAAAAGGAAATCAAAATGATTACTAAAAAACCTCAGCTCAAATGATTGTAGTATTGGAAGTATTTCTTACTGGTTCCATGAGAGAATTTTCTTTTATGACTTTTTTCATTATTGTTGGTGGTCTTTTCCTGCTTACATATTATTAGTATTTTTGTCTGTATACTACTTTGTTTTTACCCTTACCACCAACAATTTAGTGCAGATTTTGTTTTCTGTTGGGTCTCCCAGCTGTGAAGCCCAGGAAGAGTGGATGCATAATAATTATAATGGATATAAGGGGATACAGGGAACATGTAAGGGGGTTGGACAGGGAAGGAAAGGGGGTTTGGGGAATAACTAATGAAGACAGAAGGGAGTACTAGAGCAGATTGTGATTCATAAACCATCTTAAAGGTAACAACTATGGGGTGGGTGGAATGCTCTAAAATTAATGTGGAGCTGATTGTACAATTCTCCATGATATGATTGAACTATTGAATAATATGAAATGTAAATTACTTACCAATAAGACAGTTGGGGGGATAAAAGAATCATATACTCAGTAAAATTTACCCTCAAATATGATGGTAAAATTAGGGCATTCCCATATAAACAGGAGTTAAAGGAATTTGTAAAAACCAAATAAACCTTACCAAAAATGTCTTTAGACAAAGAGCAAATAATGGCAGACAAAAATTTGAGACTGCCATACATAACGAAACCAGATATATAAATATTCAAAGTAAGATAAACCTACAAGATTGAAAACAATAAAATAGAGATGTTGCTTTGTCTGCTGATCCCAGAAGCCACCATTGGACTACAGTTGGTGAAATCATTCAGTTGAGTTTGGACTTCTGTATCTACCAGCTTGTATACCTCGGCCGGCCCCCACCCTCATCTCTGCTTCATTATCTTGCTTTCTGTTCTAACACAATTGTGTTCATGCAGAACTTGTACACAGGCCAAGAAGTAGTATTTCAAACAGAATGAGAGAATGTTGCATGGTTTAAAATTAGGACAGGTGCTTGAAGGTAAGAAAGCAGCCATCTAGTTCAGAAGAAACAAAGCCCACATGGAAGAAACACACCAGCCTGTGTGATCGCGAGGAGCCAAAGAGATCAGGTATCAGGCATCAAAGAACAAAAATCATATCATTGTGTGCTCACCTTTCTCATATGATCGCTGAAGACAAATGGGTGCCTAAGAAAATGTGATGAAGAAAGCTGACGGTGCTTGGCTATCAAAAGATACAGCATCTGGGTTTTTAAAGGTTTGAAGGTAAACAAGCAGCCATCTAGCTCAAAAGCAACAAAGCCCACAGGGAAGAAACACACCAGCCTGTGTGACCATGAGGTGTCGAAGGGATCGGGTATCAGACATCAAAGAACAAAAAAATCAAACCATTGTGAATGAGGGGAGTGCAGATTGGGGACCCAAGACCCATCTGTAGGCAACTGGACATCCCCTTACAGAAAGGTTGCAGGGAGGCGACGAACCAGTCAGG